GGTACAGTGTAGATTGACTTAGCAACTGTACTGGCTAGCCTTGTCGTCACCGCGTCAGCAGCACGAGCGACCTGGCAACATGATGAGCGTGCGGACAAGGCCTGGCTACATTGTCCATGTAGCACATACCCTGGTGGTCATATGACACCGACACAACCACGTGGGTGCGCTGTTTACTCATTCATGTCCAGTGTGGATACAGGTTATTTATCACGCGCATTCGGTTACCGTGGCAACCGGAAAGTGGGGCGGAGCCAAGGCGCATACGACTCATTCGCTTATGAACTAGCCACTGCACAGACTTAATTGAAGACTGCTATTGATGTGCGTTGTTCTCTCACCAATGCATGGCTTCAGTAAATCATTCTGATTTGGAGATGATGGGTAACCGGACGAGATGTCTCTAAAGGGCGCGTTCATTCCGTGCCCCCATTTTGTCTCCTTGTGAACTGGGACCAACTAGCAAGTAATAAAATACAGAAATCATAGATAAATAGTGGTTCTGCATTCGAGTGGTCTCTGCGATGGAAGTTGATGTGAAACCACTGTTAAAAGTTTCTACCGTCATGTATCCTGGAGGTGCTCTGCGTAAGGCGTTCCTGTCCAAGTTTGCGCCTTGAGTGCTGACTGGGTGCTTCCCTAAAATCATCCAAAGCAAATTCTCGAAATGCTTAGAATCAATTATAAACTTTAGCCAGACTGTTTTGCCACCAGTGGCCTACAAAAGTTCCACCTCGGCCGTTTATCCAACTCAAACGCTCAACAAACAACGACAGTGTGGTGGCGCAATGAGTCTTGAGTTGACAGGACAACAGACTGCGCGTAACTTATCTGACCAATGAAAAAAGTAAGTTACAATCTTCGGCAGTGATCATGTTAACTCGTTAGGAATGTCATCAGACTATGTGTTCGAACTGGAAATCCAATACCTTACACTTGTCAGTCGCAAGTCTTGAGGTTCATTGTGAAACTGGCAGTCATTTGGACGGAAAACCTGCAGAAATTGGTACACTTAATTTTTCATGACATCTTCCAGAATATATTACAATATGTTTATGCACATTGTTTATACATATACTCATACATAGTGCATCGCAAGGTTTTAGGTGCAGTAAAATATGGACCGGTGCTATTTGAGGCGGTCTCGCTCTGCTCAGTGTGTGATGCGCACTCTAATCACGAACTGTCTCCATCAATGTGCAACGAGGCACATTAGACTCATTGTTGCATTTTCGTGTTTCGCTCTGCTTCAACTTCTTCTCTGGGCCTCTAAATGACCCCATCAGACAATCAGAAATCTCGGCTGCCAACAGAAATAGACCTTAGAGCTCATCCAATAGAATTCATACGAAGTGATTGCTGCTCAATTATATACTCCGTACTTCTCTGCAGTTCAGCCATACATTGAAGGCGGTTGTATCGATTAAATGTACGCGAACTCCTGTTGTGCATTACCTGGGCACGTATCTCGCAATGTACATCTTCAGCAAGTTAACATCAATGTCAACCCTATCCTTATTACTATCGTAGTACGCAATTTCCTCAGGCCCTGTGTTACAATGTAGGAATGTTTATCTTCGACACAAGGATGGGAGAATCCCTGATTTCCACACTGCAATTAGAGTCTCAGGGGAATCACAGAAGAAGAACGACATTGCTATTTTGACCTTTTCGGTAGCCCTGAGTGATTCTGTTTGGCGGAGGACTTTTGGTTCCTCGCTAATTTAACTTTCTGGAATAGAGTTTGATCTTTTAAAACCCCCTGCGTCAACCCATTTGAGCCGCGTACTACTACACTTCTCAGCTAAGGTGAGCTTAGTCTCAGTTCATAACTATGTGAGCCCCAATACGGTGTTAGATTTGTCTGTCTATATGTTTGTCTATAAGCACCAAAAATGGCATGTAGGTAACAAAGTGTATTATGCTTTTCAATCGTATTAGTTACTTGCCAGAAGCGATCGGAGAATGGGGCTGTATGTTTCTCCAGCATTAGTGATGGAGCATTAGTAATAGATGCCATCTTCACAGATGGAACAGCTCTCATTCATCCAGAGTGGAAATGCCACCTGAGTGAACTGGAAGGAACCAATTTCGGGTCATCGTTCCTTTGAATATCATGACTCCAAAATGTTCACTCCACGATAGTCCACTGATCCACTGAAAACCTCATAGCGGATGGAATGATACTGAACTTCTCACAATGTGGATTCGTTGGTGAAACACGTTAAATCAGCTGGACTTACGAGATTTGATTAGCATGCTGTGTTTCCGATGCTACGGTCACCGAAGCGTGCATAGCAAGCTGCGGTCTTTTCGACAGTCCAACAGGACCCATCAAGCTCGCTTATACTCATGAGTTGCTTGGCCTAACATTCTCCTTTCTAAATACTACAGGGACTTGTTTTACTCAGAGTGAGTTGTATAGGTGCAGCCCAACCGACTAGCAGCGATGTCATTGCAGTGCAGATTGCAAACAATCGGTGCAATGGACATCACAACTTCGCATCAGAAAGGCACTAAGGCACGGATCATTGGCCGTCGCCAGAACGAACAGATTCGAACGGTTAGAGCATGGGAATAAGGATTTACTCACACTTGGTGAAGCACACTATCCATAAAGTTGCTGAAAATTCTACCACAGCGCATGGCCGTTTTGCCACTCTTGAGGTTGAGCCAACCTCACATGGCTGACCGGTCCAAGTTTCCTTCATGTCTCCCAATAGGACACATG